CCAACATGGTGAAACCCTGTCTCTTCTAAAAATACAAAAATTAGCCAGGAATGGTGGTGCGCACTTCTAATTCCAGCTACTCAAGAGGCAGAGGTGGGAGGATTGCCTGAACTTGGGAAATGGAGGTTGCAGGAAGCCAGGATCATGCCACTGCCCTCTATCCTGGGTGACAGAGCAAGACTCCTTCTCAAAAAAAAAAAAAAAAAAAAGAAAAAAAAGAAAAAGATTATTCGTTATGATCAAGTGGGATTTATCCTGGGATGTGAGGATGGTTCAGCATATGCAAATCAATCAATGTGATACATCATATCAACAGAATGAAGGACAAAAACCATATGAACATTTCAATTGATGCTGGAAAAGCATTTGATAAAATTCAACATCCTTTCGTGATAAAAAAAAAAAAAAAAAAACTTAAACTGGGTATAGAAGGAATGTAACACAATAAAAGCCATATACGATAGACCTGCAGCTTGTATCATACTAAAAGGATGATAAATGAAAAGTTGAAAGCTTTCTTCTGAGATCTGGAAAATGGCAAGGATACTCACTTTCATCACTGTTATTCAGCATAGTACTGGAAGTCTTAACTAGAGCAATCAGACAAGAGAAAGAAAAAGGGGCATCCAAATTGGAAAGGAAAAAGTAAATTATCCTATTTTGCAGATGATGTGAACTTATATTTAGAAAATCCTAAAGACTCCACCAAAAAACTGTTAGAACTGATCAATTTAATAAAGTTACAGGATAAAAAATTGATGTACAAAAATTAGTAGTGTTTTTATATGCCAACAGCAAACAATCTGAAAAATCAAGAAAGTAACCCTATTTACAGTAGCTACAAATAAAATACCTAGGAATTAACCAAAGAAGTGAAATACAATGAAATATATAAAACACTGATGAAAGAAATTAAAGAGGACACCAAAAAGGGTAAGATATTCCATGTTCATGGATTGGAAGAATCAACATTGTTAAAATGTCCATAACACCCAAAACAATCTACAGATGCAACACAATCCCTATCAAAAATACCAATGATACTCTTCACAAAAATGAAACAATTCTGAAACTTACATAGAACTACAAAAGACCCAGAATAGCCAAAGCTATCCTGATAGAAAAGAACAAAACTGGAGAAATAACATTACCTGACTTCAGATTATACCACAGAGTTATAACAACCAAAACAGCATGGTACTGCCATAAAAACAGATGCACAGACCGATGGAACAGAATCGAGAACCCAGAAACAAATCCATACATCTACAGTGAACTCATTTTCAACAGAGGTGCTAAGAACATACGTTGGGGCAAGGACAGTTTCTTTAATAAATGGTTCTGGGAAAACTGGATATCCATATACAGAAGAATGAAACGAAACCCCTATCTCTTGCCATATACAAAAATCAACTAAAAATGAGTTAAATACTCAAATTTAAGACCTCAAACTATGAAAGTACTAAAACAAAACATTGAGAAAACTCTCCAGGACATTGGACTGTGGAAAGATTTTTTGAGTAATAACCAACAAGCACAGGTAGCTAAAGCAAGAATGGACAGATGGGATCATGTCAAGTTAAAAGGCTTCTGCACAGCAAAGGAAACAACAAAGTGAAGAAACAACCCACAGAATGGGAGAAAATATTTGCAAACTATCCATTTGACAAGGGATTAATAACCAGAATATATAAGGAGCTCAACAACTCTATAGGAAAAAATCTAATCCAATTTTAAAAGATCTGAATAGACATTTCTCAAAGGAATATATTCATATGGCAGACAAGCATATGAAAAGGTGCTCAACATCACTGATCACCAGAGAAATGCAAATGAAAACTATAATGAGGTATCATCTCACCCCAGTTAAAATAGCTTTTATGCAAAAGACAGGCAATAACAAATGCTGGTGAGGATGTGGAGAAAAGGAAATCCTCATACACTGTTGGTGAGAATGTAAATTAGTAAAGCCACTATGGAGAACAGTTTGTAGATTCAAAAAAAAAAAAAAAAAAAAAAACCCTAAAAATAGAACTACCATATAATGCAGCAATCCCACTACTGCATATATAGCCAAAGGAAGGGAAATCAGTACATTGAAGATATACTACACTCCCGTGTTTATTACAGCACTGTTCACGATAGCCAAGATTTGGAAGCAACCAGTGTCCATCAGTAGATGAATGGATAAAGAAAATATGGTACATATACACAAAGGAGTACTATTTGGCCATAAAAAAGAATGAGATCCCTGTCATTTGCAACAACATGGATGGAACTGGAGGTCATTATGGTAAGTGAAATATGCCAGGCACAGAAAAAATTTGCATGTTCTCGCTTATTTATGGGAGCTAAAAATGGAAACAATTGAACTCATGGAGATAGAGAGTAGAAGGATGGTTGCCAGAGGCTGGGAATAATGGATGAGGAGAGGGAGGTGGGAGGTGGAGGACAATTGCGGATGGTTAATAAGTACAAAAATATTTAAATAGAATGAATAAGATCTTGTATTTAATGGCACAACAGGGTGACTACAGTCAACAGTAGTTTACTGTGTATTTTAAAATAGCTAAAAGGGTATAATTAGATTGTTTTGAACACAAAGAAAGGATAAATGTTTAAAGTGATGGCTACCTCATTTGCCTGATGTGATGATTGTATCAGAATATCTAATGTACCCCACAAATATATACCCTTACTATGTACCCGCAAAATTTTTTTAAAAACAATACCACTTTTCACTTATCAAATTGGCCAAAATTAAGTTTAAGGATATCATGTATTTGTGGGGATACCTATTTCTCCATACTTTCACCAATACTTGATAAACCTCTAAGAACCTGTTTTGTCAGCCAAAAAAACTGTACTAGTATTTTCCCAGCCGACTTCTTAAGAAGATAATATGAAATTATCTGAGATAATCTGGTGAGATTACGAAGTGATACAGAAGCATGTTATTACTACCCAGATCTTCCAGTCTTGTCTCTTGTTCTCTAGTCTGGGGTTAGGATAGTAGGCCTTCATTTTGGGTATACATTAGAATCACCTGGAGAAGTCTAAAATGTATAAATAACTTTGGCCCCTACCCCAGTTCACTTGAATCAGAATTTCTGGTGGGTTTGTACCTGGGCGGTAGTATTTAGGTGATTCTGTTATGTAGCCAGGGTTGAAAACCACCTGGAACCAGGCAGCTTGGATTTGAAAATTGTCTCTGTCACTTATTAGTTATTTAGCCTTGGGCAAGTTATGTAATCTCTCTGTAAAATGCCCTCATCTGTAAAATGCTGAAAATTATGTCTAAGTAGTAAAGAGTTGTGAGGAGAAAGTTAGGTAATTCATTTGAAGCATTTAGATTGCTGACTGGCACATAGATTTAGTAGACATTAGCTGCTACTGCTATTGTTGCAGTTACTGCTAAACACCATAATATTCTAGTGAGAAAATGGTTGGTTAAGTCTAGTTCTTAAATAGCTGCTTTCCACTCATCCATTTCAGAAGTAGCAAAGTTGTACTATTTGTGGCAAGATCTGGAGTAGCTACCATAGATCTGCTCTGACACTTTTTTAATATCTTTAAAGCACGTTAGTCTGTGAATTTACTTTGCTCATTTATTTTTTTTCTAGTCTTCCTCCACCATAGTAGAATGTAGATACCGTGAGAGCAGGAGTATTGCCAGTATTTTTCCCTCCTGTAACTCCATTACTCCATTGGTGCCAGATTTTTATTAGAAAGATTTGTTAAATAAATAAATGAAAATTTTGTTTTTAATATTTGTAGGGATTTTCTGACAGGCACCTATGATTGTAAATCATTGCTTTCAAGTTAAAGCCTAGAATTTCAAATATATATTTCGTTTATGTTTTATAAACCTGGTTCTGTTATCTACAGAAATCAAGCAAATTAATACTATCTTTGCCACTTAATTTTATTTCTAACATACGGATTTGTTTTTGTCATTGAAGGCTTTACTGTCACTAAATAACTCCTGTAAATTAGCAAATAGCTTTCAGGAACAAACAGCAAAGTATAGTAGAATTTCATTCCATTGTTGTCTTTAAACGGTATTCATTAGTTAGAGTAATAGGAATAGAATCAGACTTGATTTTCTATGGGATTTTAAAAATATGACTTAATCTGACTTGTTTTGTGATTTACTTTTACTTTTATATTGGTAACTTACCTTGGGTCTAGTTCTGTTTTTACTTTTAATTTGTTATGTGACCCTGGGCAAATAATTTTCTTTCTCTTAGCCTCAGTTTTCTCATTGATAAAATGTGATGGTTAGACTAGACAGTTCTCTTATTTTATTTTTAAAAGTTAAAATTTGTTGACATTTGGTAACCCTAATTGTGATATATTATTGTCAAAGAATCCGATTTAGTTGAGGAAGAAGATCCCCAATTATTTCAGATTTCTTTCAACCTCTAAAATTGTACCTCCCCCATGATATTACGATTTCTTTTTCAATACATTTTTAACAGGAACACAAACTTGTATGTTCTACAGTATCTGTCTTAAGTGAATCTTAAAAAGACTCTTCCGTGACTTCTACTTTCAGCAAATTTCATGATTTGAATGTCATGTTTCTGTGATGTCCTGAGCCAAGATATAAACTGACTCACCGTCCTTATTTAAGGGATTCTCTCTCCAGAGTAAGGAAGAGATATCCAAAGAATATAGATGAAAACCAGAGCTCAGAGGGTCATTGTCTAAAGGCTCTTAACTGTGTGTGTCAAGAAAGGATAGGAAGAATTAAGATTGAAAGAGGGATTTAAGTAGAGAAAGCCATATTTTGAAGTTGGGACAGAACCACAATATATGCCAAAACTAGTAGAAAATCATCATTCTTTCATTTTGCTTAAAAGTAGAAAGTCTTTTGATTCTCTTGGGTCCTTTGAATTCTGATGGTAGTTCATTTTACAAAGTTATCATTGGGAACTGGGCAAAATTTGTTATCCTAGATGTGTCTTAACTACTTTTCCTTTTCCTTTTTCTCCTAGGCAGCGATTATTAGTAGAGTTCAGTGTAGGATTGTGGCTTTGGATCTGCGAAGTCATGGTGAGTAAAGTTCTTAATTAGCCATTTACTGGATTATAGTCATCAAGCCCCTTTGAATAGTCGTAACTATTAGAAATTTCAACATGGCCATAAAATTACCTTGTCTATTCCATTTGGGCTTTTTTTGTCTTTTCTTTTTTTTTTTGGAGATGGAGTCTCATTCTGTTACCCAGGCTGGAGTGCAGTGGCACAATCTCAGCTCACTGCAACCTCTGCCTCCTGGGTTCAGGCAATTCTCCTGCTTCAGTCTCCCTAGTAGCTGGGATTACAGGTGTGCGCCACCATGCCCAGCTAATTTTTGTATCTTTAGTAGCGACAGGATTTCACATGTTGGCCAGGCTGGTATCGAACTCTTGACCTCAAGTGATTCATTCACCTCTGCCTCCCAGAGTGCTAGCATAGCAGGTGTGAGCCACTGTGCCCAGCTCGATTTGGGCATTTTGAAGGAAGTCGTAGCTTCTAGTCTTTACAAATGTATGTGTATGTATATATATTATAATAAAGTTTTATTTATAGTATTTATTTTTGTATTTTATATGTGTTAAGCCAAGAAAATGTCCTTTAACCAGATTCTTATGCTGATGTATAAGGAATGTGGATAAATCTTTGCTAGGCTATTGTAATTATCCTTCTTAGGATAACTGTAAAGATTTGTCTGTAGAAAATCCTTGCTAAGCTCATTGTGTAAAATTATAAAGTCCTTAATCCATTGTCCAAAGATGGTATTTTTAAAAGAGAATTCTTCTGCTTTTATAATTCCTGTCTGTGGGAATTTTATTTTAAAACTATTTTCATTTTAGGTGAAACAAAAGTCAAGAATCCTGAAGATCTGTCTGCAGAAACAATGGCAAAGTAAGTAACCAGATATTTCTTACACATTGCCTGTCTCCCATCACTATTATAAATAGTACTATAACTTTATCACTTTCCTGATGAGATTGTTGGAGAATAATTACCACAAGGAACATTTTACTTCTGTTCTCTCTCCTCTACTTTTGGTTTCTCCTTACTATTTAATCTTGAAAGAAACCTGCATCTTTCTTGGTATGTCCAATGCAGTGATCATCATAAAAAGCACATGAAAATTCTTCAAGGCACAGTTTAGTTTGTGAAGGCTTTTGAAAGTTTTCTTCTGTTGATGGAATTGCATTGAATCTGGATGCCTATTATGGACTTATGCTTGGAAAAGTAGTTGTATGCAAGAGGCCTTGAGAGTTTCTCCTTCAGGTATCCTGTGCATATTCTTCGTCTTATGTCATAGAAAGATGAGAACATGATATTAAAAAAATGACAGTTATACCCTGGGCCTAAAGTAAAAAATGAATGTAGCACATACAGTGACTCTCAAAAGTGCTCACTCATCAGAATCACTTGAGAAGTTACGAGACATACAGATGACTTGACCCTACCCCAGACCTACTTCTAGCCGTGGGGTCTGAACATTTATATTTTGATAAAGCTCTATATAGGAATCTGATGGAGCCAGTTCAATGACTGTTGTTTGGGAATCACTGACCTATAGCATAAATAGGATTCTTCTAGCCATTCTGCTTTAATACATACTCTCTCAGGTATTTGGTCACTTTGGCCAAAAATATCTTGCCCTCTTTTACTTTAGCAGCTTTAATTTAAGAATAAACTTTTTCCTTCAGAGCCCAAACTGATGTAGCAATAATTTGAATACTATTATTTTTTTACTGTCTACCTGGAGGTAGTTGTTTTATTATTATAGTAGGTGTTATTTGTGTACTTTTTATCAGCCAGCTTTCATTAAAGTATAAACTAAGCATTTATTAATAATCATTAACTTATTTTGTGTAATCATTTATTGAAATTAATCCTCATTATTAACTCTGTAATACAGACATATCCTTTTACAGATAAGGAAACTGGCTCATATAGGTTGAATAACTGTATGAAATCACACAGTCAGTAGATTGAATTTATGGTCATTCAACTATAGTCCTTGTCAGAGAGAGAGAGAAAGAAATAATGTATATAGTATGAGTATCATTCCACTCAATGAACATATGCCTTAAAAACTATGAAAAGAGAGGTAAGAATCTGTTCCCCCAATTATTCCTACTGCCTTTGTTACTAGGAGAGCAATATATCCTTAAACAGGCAAGCCTGTTAGTGATACCTCTAGGAAGATTTGTGAATGATTTTTAAGGAAGTAAAGGGTTTCTTGACTTTTAACAAAAAAGTGAAATACATCATCTGAGTGTCCAGGCAGTCAGACAAATTGATGATGATGCCTTGGTTAACATTCTAGAGGAAATTGAAGAATTAATTGAGAACCTTAAGGAAACATGGACTAAATAATAATGTTTCAGTCTAGGGCTCATCAGGAGAGAGAAACAACATAGTAAATTGTATAAGTAAAGTTGAATATAAATAATTATTCACAGTAACAGGGGATTGGAATGGGAGATTGGTAGTAAGAAGTAAAGAAAACTCTTAATAATATAGGAAAGCAGATAAAAGGAACAACCACTCCTCCCTTGGGCTGAGGGAGTACACCCAGGGTTGAGATCCAGACCTTGTTGGAGAATGCACAACCATGGCTTACCGAAGGTTAGAACTTGCTGAAAATCTGCCCTTTGGAACCTGACAGAATTCTGCCCTCTAAGGTACAGGGAAAGATATTCTTGGGGAGGTATCTCACCAGAGGCACTTGTCTACAAAAACACTGGGTGGGGGAGGGCTAGAGTACTGGAGAAGCCATTTGTGCAGGAGGAATTGTGCAGGAATTGGCAGGAGTTGGATACTGGGGGAAGTTCTGTGTTTCTCTAGCACCCTCCATTAACATAGCTTAACATCATGCCTACTGGCAAGGGAAAAATATTTAAAGGCCTCACTCACGTCTGTTTTTGTAGAGCAGGCAATGAAGGATGAATTGGAGTTGAGGTAGCAAGTTGTTAACTGGCACCAAAAAAATTTTTTAATAATAAAAATCATCCACAGTAGATGAAGATGATGACCAAGAATCAAAAGGGCGAACAAACTGGATTCTTGCTGAAATTATCCAAGCAGTCAAACATTTATGTGATTTCTGAATTCAGTTACTCTGTGGAAAAAAAAAAATCTCAAAATGGGCATACTTACTATCAACTGCAGAACCTAAATACTCCATAAGAAAGTATGTGAAAAAGTCAAATTTGAGCTTGGGTCATTCTGATATTCCAGTTTCTGTGATACACAGTAATGCTTCTCAGAAAAGTAACCTAGCATTAAAATATGACAGAATCCCTTTAAAAAGCATCCACCAAAATTGTGATACATCCAGTTACAGTCTGAATTTGTAGGTAACCCTTGCTACTTCATCTTTATTGTATTTCTTTGGATTTTCAGGACTTACCTCAAGTAAGGTAAGGTACTTGTTGACTGAATGCTCTGCTTGATTTTAATAATAATACATTTCTCTTGGTGGTAGATGATCAAGTGATTAATCGTAACTACCTTCTACCTAGGTAAATATGCCTTTCCTAAGCTCAGACACGATGTTCAGTTGGTGTGTTTCAGACCTCTCTACCTTTGTGCATGAGGCGGATACTGCAGAACCCCTTCAATTCAGTTAATGTGTATTTTAAGAAGAATTGGACTTAGATAGTCGTCCATAGCATCCTTTCATTTTATTCATTATTTGTGTGTTAGCAACTGAAAGTTTCTTGGAATTGTTCAAGAATTATTCTGGAAATTGCATGTTGATATTTAATATAAACATGTTTTAAACTTTAGTCTTTTCTTTAAAAAAAAAAAGTTTGCCCCCAAAATTATATCCAGTGTTGTTTTAGATTAATTGAGGATATAATTTTTTTCTGGTCTGTTATTTTAATATGCAGAATTAGCTTTGGAATACTACCTGTTTTATTTTTTAGAAACTGTATGTATAATAATTTCCTCTGTGTTACTTACTCTAAAGACCACTTTTGTTTTGTTTTGTTTTGTTTTTTGAGACCGAGTCTCGCTGTGTCACCCAGGCTGGAGTGCAGTGGCGCAATCTCGGCTCACTGCAAGCTCCGCCTCCTGGGTTCACGCCATTCTCCTGCCTCAGCCTCCGAGTAGCGGGGACTACAGGCGCCTGCCACCACGCCCGGCTAGTTTTTTGTATTTTTAGTAGAGACGGGGTTTCACCATGTTAGCCAGGATGGTCTCGATCTCCTGACCTCGTGATCCACCCGCCTCGGCCTCCCAAAGTGCTGGGATTACAGGCTTGAGCCACCGCGCTGGGCCAAGACCACTTATTATCAAGTCTTTGTTCCTGATACTTTCCAGTGGCCTCTGGGCAAAGGCATTATAGTTTTGACTTCATGAAATTACTCTGAATTCACAGTACCCTATGCCAAGGGGAGATGGCTTTACCATTTATACCTGAGGTTGCAGTTTTTTGAATTTTTGCAATCAGAACTTGGTGATGACCTTGGGCAGTAGAATATAAATAACTCCCACATGCTTAGTGTTCCAATAGTGCATAAATTGGTTAACCCATTGAAACATTGAAAATATGTTTCAGTGAGGTAGTAAGAAAATGCAGCCCTTTTTACTTGGTAGAAATGCCATAATATATTTATAGACCCAGTGCGATTAATTGATTAATACAGACCCTTCTAGACAGGGCTGCTGAGGGATTACATTAGGTGATGTTATAAGAAAGTTTTATAGCACAACTGAAAAAGAAGCACTGAATAAGTATTAGTTCTCTTTTCTTTCCTTCATATCATTTTGTCTCCCGGAGAGAATTTTGTGTTCGTATAGAAGCAGCACTAGTGTCAAAGAAGCTTGAACTTTTCATCTTAACTATTTGTTATCGCTTTGGGTGACTGCCTGAACTGCTTCACTTTCTGTCTTAATCTTAAATTTAAGTCCGAAGGAATATTAAACCATTTGTTTTCACTTACAAAGTTCAGTGGCCTCCCTATCTCCCATTCAGTTGGTCTACAATTGCCGAGGCTACCCTATTCACTCCTGCAATTGTTGTATGAGATTTTAAAAATCAATTCCTACAGAACTAATAACATTTGCCTTTACCATTATGAATACTGTAGAGATTATATATGAAAGTCTGTGTTCCTACATTGACACTTGCTATATTTGGTTAACACTGTGTGAGTGCGCTTAAGGTATGTAATGACGCTCAGCAAGACAAAAGTTTCTTTTGAAGTTGAACCAGCTACTCCCAAAAGAAGGGAGTAGAACTAGCCTAAAAAATATATATCTATAATAAGGCAGTAGAGCCAGTGGGTCTCCAGAAACACACCTTACTGTTCTTGTCCACCTATTGCTATAGCAAGGAAGGCCTACATGCAATTAAAAACCAAACTTCATACTTCAGTTCTAATTTTCAAAGCTTTAAAGTTGGTCTTTGTTAAACAGATCCATTCATAATTGAAGACTAGAACCAAAGCCAATAAAATGAGCTCTGAACACCTTTCTAGTTTCTCAGAGCACTGTACTTACATTTATGTTCATCCTTCAAACAAATGAGAAATTGTAAATAATAATTAACATTTGTGAAGCATTTTACTCTTTCGAGGTGTTTTTTTGTTCACCTCTCAGTTAATCCTCAAAGCAATCCAGAGCAGTCAGTGATATTTTTCTCTTTTTTTTATAAATGTTGAAACTCAGTTTCTGAGAGATTAAGTAACTAATCCAAGATCACATAGTGAAAAATAAACTGAGGCTGGGGCTCATCTTGTGATCTCGAGGTTTACTACATTATAATGCTTAATAAATTTTTTTTCTTGTTTTATAGATGGGAAAATTGAAACAGAGCAGTTAAATGATTTTTCCAGAGTTTGAATCTTAGGTTCAAAATAAAGGTATATATTTACGTAATTGTACTACATATGTGGAACAGTGAAAGTGTGATGTAAAGGAAAATTCAGTAATTTGGGTTCTTAGTCCTTTACCTGCCATTTATCAGGAGAGCTAGGTGTGTGGCTACACATATTGATACTGGGGGCATGTTAGAAGGTTTACATAGGTATGTTTGTAAGATGGCCCAATAGACTTTACAGTTTCCCAGCACTATTACACACCAAAGGAAGGAACTGGGAAAGAAAACCATTTTTATAGTGTTGTCCGAAAGCATTCTTATATCTTTTTCTTCTCTTTACAGAGATGTTGGCAATGTGGTTGAAGCCATGTATGGGGACCTTCCTCCTCCAATTATGCTGATTGGACATAGCATGGGTGGTGCTATTGCAGTCCACACAGCATCATCCAACCTGGTACCAAGCCTCTTGGGTCTGTGCATGATTGATGTTGTAGAAGGTGAGTTTTCTTAGCATGGACCAAATCAGGATTTCACTTATAAGAGACATCCGTGGTAGATTATTACGTTGTCTTAGTTTATTGTTGATTTCATTCACCTTGAAATATGTCCCTCTGTCTTTACATCCTTTTTAAGTTTATACAAGATAACCGTTTTTCCATGTCATCAAAAACTCTTCATTAACATATTTTTATGACTGCATACTATTTCAATCCTATGTATGTCCCATAATTGTATTTAATCATATAAAAAGAAGCTTCCATGTCTTTTCTGACCGAGCTTCAGAAATCACACTGCTGCTTGTGAATATAAGTCATCCTCTTCAGTGTGAGGGCATGACATAAAGGAGTGAACACCCCAGAGGCAAAAATTATTGAGGACCATCTTTATTTCTTTGCAAGCATCACTAAATTCTGCTGTCATCAAGAGCAGATATATAGTAATTGACTCAGTGAGTGTAAATGCTCAGAATAAGTTAAATATGTGGTTACAGTTTTTGTTTAACATCCAGGTACAGCTATGGATGCACTTAATAGCATGCAGAATTTCTTACGGGGTCGTCCTAAAACCTTCAAGTCTCTGGAGAATGCTATTGAATGGAGGTAACCAACAAATCTTTGTCACCTTTATTTAATTAATTTGTTTGTTTGCTTGCTTATTTACTTATTTATTTATTTAGTAGACAAGGCCTCACTCCATCACCCAGGCTGGAGTGCAGTGGCATGATCCTAGCTCACTGCAACCTTGAACTCCTGGGTTCAAGCAATCCTCCCACCTCAGCCTCCCAATTTGCTAAGACTACAGGTGCACACCACCAAGCCTGGCTAATTTTTAAATTTTTTGTAGAAACGAGGTCTTGCTATGTTGCCCAGGCTGGCTTCAAGTAATCCTCTTGCTTTAGCCTGGCCTCAAGTAATCAAGTAATCAAATTCCTGGCCTCAAGTAATCCTCCTTCTTTAGCCTCCCAAAGTGTTGGGGTTACAGGCATGAGCCACAGTGCCCAGCCACTGTTGCCTTTATTCTAAATGTTAGATTGTAGCTTTTCTTCTTTTTTAGGTCAAGCACTAAGTTTGAGGAATAGAATTTCAGTTGCCATGCTTTATTGTAATAACATATGAGGAAACATTATATAAACAGCAGAATTTTTTTGAATATTTAAAAATATTTTAGATTTGGCTCAGTTGTCTGAAGTCCATTCTTTTCCCAATACACTGTAGTGCCTCTGGAATCTTAGTAATTATTGATCATCTGCTGGGTCTAGCTGTTTCTGCCTCTGAGGTGAGAGGTTAGACTAGGTGGTTTCTAAGGCCTCATCCACCTCTGACGCTCCATGGTTTTAGATTTACTTGCTGTGTTTCAGATAAAATGGTGGAGAAATGGAAGATGGCTATAGGTTCCATTCCCTCATGTTTATTTGGATTTTGGGTAAATAAACTCAATGGGTAGTTTTTATAAAAATCAGTGTCAGAATTCCATTTAAGCAAAGGAATGAATTTATGCATTAATTCAGTTAATCATTTGATAAAGTATTTATTAAACACTTATTTTGTGCTAACAGGTGAAGATTCAGAGATGAATAAAACACTATCCCTTCCCACAAGGAGATCAGTCTTTGGATAAATGTCTTCATCATCCTATCTTCCTTCCTATTCTTCTAACTCTATCTCCAGTCCCTTCTTCAGAACATTTTCTCTTAAGTTCTTCAAACCACCCAGATGACTCTTTCAGCAAAATTACTAGAGACCTTTAAGTCTCTATTATATTGCACTGTATACCCTTAAATTTTCCAATCCTCCCTTGAGGGATATGGCTCATATTAATTTTTATTAATGTCTGTCTTAATGCCCTTCCTGCATCATAAGGGAAGAAGCTATTCTGTATTTCTTTTATACTTTCATATAGCATATGGCAGACTGCCCTAGCAGGCAGAATATATCTGTTAACTGAATCAGATATCAAGTGGAAATTTAGGACTTGGTAAATATATCCTAGGAGTTTTCCTAAGACAAAGGGTCTTATGCAAGAATATGGCTTGTCAGAATGATGTTTGTGTTTGGTGAAGTTGCTTTTACCACTTCCTGTTCACTACTGTGATGCAGGATTCCTGTTCTTGTGGAAATATCAAAGATCTCTCTATCTTGGGCAGACAGCATCAAGAATGTAGCTGCTGCCAGCTTGGCTTGTTCCTCAGGTGCCCTGCCTGTTTCCACAATAACAACCAGTGAGAAAGTTATTCTAGAGTTGGCTCAGTTGTCTAAAGCCCATCTATCTTTTATCCATACTTTTTTTTTTTTTTTTTTTTTTTTTTTGAGACCGGGTGTTACTCTCTTGTCCAGGCTGGCGTCCTGTGGCATGATTACAGCTCTCACTGCAGCCTTGACATTCTGGGCTCAAGCGATCCTCCTGCTTCAGCCACCCAAGTAGCTGGGACTACAGATGTGCACCACGACGCCCAGCTAATTTTTGTTTTTTGGGTTTTTTTTTTTTTTTTTTTTTGTAGCAACAGGGTTTTATCATGTTGGCCAGGCTGGTCTTGAACTCCCAGACTCAAGCAGTCTGCCTGCCTGCCTCGGCCTCTCAAAGTCATGGGATTATAGGTATGAGCCACTGCATCTGGCCCTGTTTCCAAACTTTAAAATTTATTCAGTAAATTTTTTTTTCTAGTGCCTAAGATGTGTCAGTACCTGATCTAAGAACTGGGGGATGAATCAGGCTCAGTTCCTATCATCAAAAAACTGGGGATGCAAACAAGGAAATGCATAAACACAACACAACGAAGGAAGCCAGGGGATATAGAAGAAGGGTACCTAATGCAGCCTGGGTATCATGGTAGGCCTTCTCTTAAGGTAGAGTCTTGTTTCTTTTGCCAGATACAGGATAGCATAAGGGTTCTGTTTGTTAAATGTTAAGATACTGGGTTTCATGAGAGTCATTGATTTTTCTGAACCTGAAAATTGTTATACTATGAGGTATTTGGTAATTTTGTTTTTTATTCTGCTGGATATCTGAATCAGGTTTATGACCGATGGCCATTTTGGCTATTCCAGATTTTTTTTATGTTGTGATATAAAGCCAGTTAATTACTGCTTTTGCTCTCATAGGTTTCCTAATGAGAGGCAGCAGGGGTATAGTCATTAAGAACCTGGGCTTTAGGCCAGATGTGGTGGCTGACACCTGTACTCCCAGTGCTTTTGGAGGTTGAGATAGGAATATCAGTTGAGGCCAGGAGTTTGAGACCAGCCTGGGCCACATAGTGAGACCCTGTTTCTACAAAAAAAAAAAAATTTTTTTTTTTTAATTAGCCGGGTGTGGTGGCATGTGCCTGTAGTCCCAGCTACTCAGGAGGCTGAGGTGGGAGGATTATTTGAGCCCAGAAGTCCAAGGTTACAGTGAGCTATGATGATGCTACTGCACTTTAGCTTTAACAACAAAGTGAGACCTTGTCTTGAAACAAAACAAAAAAGTTAGGGGAAACCTGGGCTTTGAGGTCAGACAGATAAAAATTTGCATCTTGGTTACACCACTCTGGCTGTTCTGAGGAAAATCGAATAGAAGAAGAAGTGGGGAATAAGGTATGAAGTTGGTTAGGAGACTGTTGTAGTATAGGAGAGTAAGAATGGTAAACATAGACTAGGATGGCAACAGAGGAAGAAAGAGAGTCATTTTTAAATGTATTTTCAAGGTAAAGCTGACAGGACTGGTTTATGGATTGGCTGTTGGGAGAGAGACGGGGGAGGGCAGGAAGGGACTTAAGGATGACTTCTAGGTTTTTAGCCCAAGCAATTGGATGAATGGTAGAAACAGAAAGAAGTAGATATGGGAGCAAATAAGGGGCAGATAATCAGTTTTGTTTGGATAAGCTCAAATGCTTATTACATATGTAAGTGGAAATGTTAAGTAGGCAATTGTATATACTAGTTAGAAGATTAGAAGAGGCTGAACTAGAGATAAATTGGAGAATCGTCATCACATAGTTAATATTTAAAGGTGAAAGATTGAATGTGAAGACCTAGGAACTTGATATTGATAGGAAAAAGATCCCAGACTGAGTCTTGGGATATTCCACAATATTTAGAGCTTGGGAGGAAGAGGAAGATCCAACAAAGAAACTGAAGAGGCACAGTTGATGAGGTAAAAGGAAAACCAGGTGAGTATAGCAAGTGTTTGTAGAAGGAGGGAGAGAACAACTGTGTCAGATGCTGCAGAGAGATCAAGTAAGATGAGGACCAAGAAATGACTGTTGGAATTGGCATGATAGAAGTGACCTTGACAAAATAAATATCTGAAAATAAATGGGAGATAAAAATCAGATATAAGTTGGGGAAAGGATGAGAGGTGACAAAGTAGAGAAAGCAAGATAACTCTTTTGAGGAGCTTTGCTGTGTAGGAGAGCAGAGAAATGGAGTAATAGGTAGTAGTGAATGTGGCATTGGGAATGTTTTTAAAGGCTGGATAGTAGAGTATGGTTGTGACATCCACAAGAGAAAAAAAGTGACACAAAAGAGAGACAGGATAACTGAAGGAAACAGTATCTTTTCAGAGGCAAGAGGGGATGGGAACTAGTGCCCAAGGTTGGCCTTCATTGGAATAGAGATATTTCATGTATTAAACAGGCATCAAGGCAGAGTTTATTATTATTGGTGAATCTGTTTATTCAGTTGGTAGTTAAAAGACAAGGTAATAGTTCTGATTGCCTCAGTTTACCATTAAAGTAAGAAATAATGTCATTATCTGAGGGGGGGGGCTTTAAAATTTTGAATGATTTTTTAAACTAAGAAATGAGATTTAAAGAAACACTTTCTCCTGGTGGCTTGCTTCAGGCAGTGTTTCCAGTTCCCCCTGGGAATGCAGTCATTTTGCTTTGCCCTTAGTTGTACTTAGGTGGACAAATGTGAGAAGCCTAATTTATTCAGATAGCCTAAACTCTGTAGCACGGCACACAAGGCCCTGGAGAAGCTGGTGCCTGCCTACCAATCCTATTCTGTCACGCTCCCCCTTTGCCTCCTCCCTGCTTCTGCTTGCAACCAGTCTTCTAAAATCATTATCTTGCCGACTTTCACATCACAGCACCTTTGTTCACAATGTGCCCTCTGCCTAGAATGCTCCAACCAACCTCTTTTATTTTCTGGTTAAACTTGTTGTCTATGCTCCTCAGTTTAGCTGTGACCTTTGGGGAGCTTTCTCTGACCTCCTCATTCATGATAAAGTGCCTTCTTTGAACCTTGCCTTGTTATATTAACATTATGTGTCTTTTTCTCCCTACTGAATTATGTGCTTCTTGAATATAGGCCTGGCACCTAGTATCCTCTTGATAAATAGCTGCAGAACTGAAATGGCTATGGTGTTTTTACTTAATTTTTACTACCTAGCTTATAACCATATAGCCAGGTGAGTAGTAGTGGCAATCTCTATAGTAAGAAACACTGGTGATCACTACTTTTTATTAGGTCTCACATAATCTGTGGAATTATTTATTTGATTCCAATGATTTGATACAATTGATACTGAATACCCTTCTCTCTTCCTTCTTTTCTTTCCCAGTGTGAAGAGTGGCCAGATTCGAAATCTGGAGTCTGCCCGTGTCTCAATGGTTGGCCAAGTCAAACAGTAGGTCTTACTTTTCCCCCTTGGTCTGATTAGAGGCAGAAACATGGTGAGGGAATTACAGATTTTCTTTTGCTTTCCTTCCTTTCTCTCTTTCCTTTCCTTTCCTTCCCTTTCTTTTCCTTCCTCCTCTATTTAATACTGGATTACCTTAGCAAAACTGTATGTGTTAAAAAGCAAAGAATCCCAGAGCATAGATATGAAAAATTATGTTCACCTTAGTGATGGCAGCTGAGTTTCATTCTAGTAACCGTCTCCTTCTAAGCCAAACCTGGCGGTGAGGGAATAATAATAAAAAAGCTCTGGCATAGCCTGAGTGAAAGCCAGATTCTAAGAATGAGCTAAGATTATTTAGCCCAGTTGATCTTTCCTGATGGAATTACATGGTATTCTGGATATTGCTGTATAGTCACAAAATAAACTTTAGATGAATTGAGAAAATGTTGCCCAACAGAACAGACAGGAGTTAGATGAAAATGATGACAGCATTGAGTGTTTACTATTTGCCAGGCACTCTGCAAGGTATTTTATATGCACTGTCTCATTTTTAAAACCTTATATTTTGGAAAATTTTCACACATACAAAAGAAGAGTAATATAGTGGATGGACCCTAGTGTGCCCATTGTCCATTTTCAATGGTTATTAACCCATAACTATGTCTCATTTGTTTCATCTGTGCCCCTATGTATTTCCCCAGTCACAAAATATTTTGAAGCAAATTCCAAACAAATATAATTTCCTCTGCAAGATTTTCATATGATCTAAAAATAAGGACTCTCTAAACATCATCACAATGATATTATTACACCTAAAAAATTGGCAATTCTTTAATATCATCAAATATCTAATCAATATTCACATTTCTGATTGTCTCATAAATAATTTTTTATGGTTAAAGTCAAAATCAAAATAAGTAGATAGCAATTGGTTGATACACCTCTCATGCATCTTTTAATCTAAGATTCCACTTGTATCTCGCTTTCTTTTTTGATTCCTTGCAATTTATTTCTTGAGGAAACCTTCCTGTTTGCCCCATAGAATTTCCCGTGATCTGGATTTGCTGATTGAATTCTCAGGCCATAATTTAACATATTCTTTTGTTCCTTATATTCTCTGTAAATAGTTAAACCTAGAAGCTTCATTGGGTTCAGGTGTTTTGTTTGCCAGAATACTTAATAGGTGATGTTGTGTACTGCCATCAGGAAGTACATAATGTCTGATTATCTTTTTTTTTTGAGACGGAGTCTCACTTGGTCACCCAGGCTGGAGTGCAGTGGCGCGATCTCGGCTCACTGCAACCTTTGCCTCCTGAGTTCAAGCAATTCTCCTGCCTCAGCCTCCTGAGTAGCTGGGACTACAGGCAAGTGCCACCATGCCCAGCTAATTTTTTGTATTTTTAGTAGAGACGGGGTTTCACCGTGTTAGCCAGGATGGTCTCTATCTCCTGACCTTGTGATCCGCCCACCTCGGCCTCCCAAAGTGCTGGGATTACAGACGTGAGCCACCATGCCCAGCCGGTTGTCTCTCTCTCTTTTTTTTTAATGTCAGGAGCCGTTGATGTTTATTACCTAGATTCATTAATTCATTTGCACTATCTCATTTAATCCCTACAATACCTCTTTAGGATAAGTATTGCTTTATAGATGAGGAAATAGAAGTTCAGAGAGGTAGTTTCCCAAGATCACATAGCTCGTGGATGACATAGCTGAGATTCAAACTCCTGTGTATTTGACTTCAAGGCCTATATTACGGGTTTTATGCCTAAAAGAGCAATTTCAGTAGAAATACCAGGTAGTCTAAATGCAAGACTTTGAATAAGCTGTGAGACTGCCCACTTTTCAATTCCTAAATATTTTGAGACCTCAAATTTGTCTAATCAGTAGTAAAGCATTTTCCATGGCATATATGCAGATAGTTGAGTGATTTTAAAATTTTATTTCCAGTGATGTTTTCTCTTAATAAGTAAACCTATGTGTAGGAGAGTGTGTATGTGCACGTGTGTTAATTGTCACATAGATAGCTGGAACTTTCCTGCCCCTTATGATCTAGGTGAAATTGCCTTGAACCTCCTAATCCACAGGCTATAGAAATTCAAAGCATATGTTTCTTTGTTACACTATTTTTTAAATCACATCTATACTGTATACTACATGTGAAGCTTGGCACCTCAAGTTTCATATAAAACTCCTACTTAACAAAACGTTTATGAACATACACTTCACTGAAGGTTTGGCAGAGAAGACAGAGAGGGAGAAGTTATCATTCTTAAAAATCTACCGCTGACCTTTGAATTTATCCCAGTCTCTTTTTATCTTGCTTGTTCTAGAGATGCCATTTGAAAGAGAAGAACAATAATTGGTTGGTTCAGATGGTTTCTGTCAGCTAATTAAAAAGTGAGGCCTTTTATCATTCTGTTTGAGCCTTGTTCTACTGTAAGCAGGGTTCAGCAGAAAAGCACCATGTTTTGGAGTTGGTTGAGCCTGGATTTGCATCCCAGCCTTATCCACTTATGAGTTAGGTGATACTGGACAATTTTCTTAACTCTTGAGGGCTACTTCATAGGATTGTTATGAAGATTATGTAAGATTATGCCAATAAAACTCATGCCTGAGGAAATGGTTGTTTCCTTTCTATGGGTCAGTATTGGTGTAAGAAGTGGAAACCAGCCCTTGGAGTATAGTTATACACTGGCCATGATTTCCACAGCCCTGGAAATGCACAATTCTATCCTCCTACCAGGATAATTGTTAAGTTTTATCCAACATTTGATTTTAAAAGGCCATGAGTATCTCTGAGATAATGTGTGTATTGGAAAGAGGTGTGTAATAGCACTTTTTAAAAAAAACCTAGGTGTGAAGGAATTACAAGTCCAGAAGGCTCAAAATCTATAGTGGAAGGAATCATAGAGGAAGAAGAAGAAGATGAGGAAGGAAGTGAGTCAATAAGCAAGAGGAAAAAGGAAGATGACATGGAGGTGGGTTAAAACATTGATTCTTGAAAAGATGTAGTATGGAATGGTTCAAACTGTGTGTGGGTGGGGAAGGGCTGATAACATTGTTCTTTTTGTTTGCCGTTAGGTATTTTAGGGTGCAAAGACACTATCATAAGAGATACTTAGCTTAACTATAAGATGTAAAGCGCTGTTGATAGCTCTGACCAATTGGAACATAAAACTTACACTGTTTACCCTCCCCTAAAACAGACTGCTTTCTCACCTGTTCTTCTGTTCCTGTGTTTCCTCCCATGAGAAAAATTCCATTTCCTACTAGTCTGTTCTAAGCTCATTCAGATCTTACCCTGTCCATCTGTCTTTCAAAGTTTATCTCCTTGAGGAAGCTTTCTTTCATTTTCTTTCCTTTTTTTTTTTTTTTTTGTCTGTTTGTTCGTTTGAAACTGGGTTTTGCTGTGTTGCCCAGGCTGAATTCCTTGGCTCACGTGATCATCCCAGCTCAGCCTCCCCAGTATCGGTAGCTGGGACTACAGGTGCATGCCACCACACCCAGCTTCCTTGGGGAAGCTTTCTGACCTTAATTGATATCACTCTCTTTCCAACACAGCACTGAAAGTCTATATGACACACCTTAGCACTTTTTTTTGAAGTTGTACATATTAAGTCATAGAACTGATTTTATAAGTCACACTTAGAAATCCTATGGTCCTTTGCTAGTCATCTGTTGACTCATGTTGTCCTCTGTGCAAGAATTGTATTCCAAACAAAGAAAAAATGTGTATTTTGTGGCAGAAACTGATGTTCTGCATGAATTTCCCTCTGCATTTAGCTCAGGGTTGTATAAATAGTGTTTTATAAGTACTTGCTAGGCAAGTAGTGGTAACAAGTGCTTTTTTCTTGAAAATGTTTAGTGATCATGAACAGCAGACTAGGGGTGGATTTGATTATAAACATCTTACTAATGGCAGGTAATGAACATGTAATGACCTACTTCTTTGCGTTTGGAGATGCTGCTGTTAGCAAGAAGGAGAATACATTTTTAAACAGGATTTTAAATTTGAGGATCTTCTTGCCATCTTTAAAATTAGTGATCAGAAATATAATACTTTGTACCTCTTTAGAGTTTACAAAGGTATAAATAACGCATGGTCTATTTGGTCCTCTCAACATCTTATGAGGTGTGGAGAGATCTTTTCTCCCATATTATGGTGTAGAATCTGAGGCTCAGAAGTTAAGAGATTTGCCCAAGGTCATCAAGCACGCATTTAGTAGATTTGAGACTCTTAATATAATTAATTGCTTTTTACCCATTATGTGCTAAGCACTATGCTGAATGCTTCACATTTATCATCTCTAATTCTCATTTTAGTTCTGCATTGTAGATATTATCACCATTTTACAACTTAGGTACAGATACTTGCCCATGGTCACACATAAAAGTTAAAGCTAAAACACACCCAGATCCTCGATTTTTAATTCTAACTCATTTTTTCTTTGTATTTTTTTTATAAGCCCAATTATGTGGTTTCATAAACTCCAGCAATTCTGTTGAGAGGGTGAACTGAGGCACATTAATAAGGAGTGTCCATGAGTATTCACTCCCTATTTCTCCCCAACCCTCCCAGCCTTGGCAACCACTAATCTAATCTCTAGAGATTTGCGTAATCTGGACATAAAATATAAATGGAACTAATAATATGTGGTCTTTTGTGACTGACTTCTTTTCCCTTAGAATAAAATTACCAGGGTTCATCCATATTGTAGCACGTATCAAATACCTCATTTCTCTATATGGTTGAATAATGTGCCATTGTATGGCTATACCACAGTTTTTAATCCATTCATCGCTTGATGGACATTTGGGTTGTTTCCAATTTTTGTCTATTATGAATAATACTTCTCTGAACATTTGTGTGTAACTTTTTGTGTGGATATAGGCTTTTATTATTTGTCTTGGGTACACAGCTAGGATTGGAACTGATGGATCATATGGTAAGTATATTTAACCTTTTGAGGAACTGACAGACCGTTTTCCAAAGCGGGTGCACCCTTTTACATTCCCACTAGCAGTGTATGAGTGTTCCAGTTTATCAGTATCCTTGTCAACACTTGTTATTTTCTCTCTTTGTGATTATGGCCATCCTAGTGTGTATTAAGTAGTATCTGATTGTGGTTTTGATTTTCATTTTCCTAATGACTCTTGATATTGAATTTCTTTTCATGAGCTTATTGTCCACTTACGTATTTTCTTTGGAGAAATGTTTATTCAGATACTTTGCCCATTTTTTACTTGGGTTATTTGATTTTATTACTGAATTTTAAGAGTTCTATATATATTCTAGATACAGATCCCTAAATTGCAAATACTTTCTCCCATTCAGTGGGTTGTCTTTTTACTTTCTTGATGGCATTCTTAGAAGTACAGACAGTTTTAATTTGATGAAATTCAATTTATCTGTTTTTCCTTTTGTCCCTTGTACTTTTGGTATTATATCTAAGAAGGCTTTGCCTGAAAGTCATGAAGATTTATACCTATGTTTTCTTCTAAGAATTTTCTTTAGCTCTTACATTTAGGCCATTTTGAGTCAATGTTTGTATATAATACCAGGAATGGAACCAACTTCATTCTTTTGCATGTAGATATCCAATAAATAGTCTGTCCCAGCTCCGTTTATTGAAAAGGCTCCTTTTTCCCCATTTAATTATCTTGGCACCTTTGCTGAAAATCAGTTAACTATAAATGTTAAATTTTATTTCTGGACTCTGAATTCTATTGATCTATATGTCTGCCCTTATGCAAATACCACACTGTCTTTGTTATTGTAGCTTTGTTGTATGTCTTGAAATCAGACAGTGTGTAAGTCCTCCAACTTTGTTCTTCTTTTTCAAGGTTATTGACATCCTATGTATTTAAAAAAAATTTTAATACTTGTTTATGTGCCAGACCACACTCCTATTGTCTCACATACATGGGTATCTTTAGCTCATCCTTACAATTCTTTCAGATCTTGTGCTGCCAATTTCACAGCTAAGAAAACAGGCTGGAGCTGGGCACAGTAGCTCATGCCTGTAATCCCAGAACTTTGGGAGGCCGAGGCGGGTGGATCACGAGGTCAGGATATCGAGACCATCCTGGCCAACATGGTGAAACCCTGTCTCTACTAAAAATACAAAAATTAGCTGGGCGTGGTGGCGTGCGCCTGTAGTCCCAGCTACTCAGGAGGCTGAGGCAGGAGAATTGCTTGAACCCAGGAGGCAGAGGTTGCAGTGAGCCGAGATTGCGCCACTGCCCTCCAGCCTAGGCAACAGAGTGAGACTCTGTCTCAAAAAAAAAAAAAAAAAAAAAGAAAGAAAGAAATAAAACCAGGCTGGAAGAAATTAAGTAACTTCCCAAGGGACCCACAGTTATTAGTTAATGATGGCTTTGGGACTTGCATTCAGTCAGATCTGACTGACACAAAGCGTTATGTTTTTAAACACTTTTCCAGTGAAACAGTGGGAGATAATGCAAGGCCTGTGGTGGATGCCCTTGTGTGGAGAACTGCATCTCGCCCAGGTAAACATCCCAGAAAGATTGTTAGCCAACTTTCTGTTTCTCCCACCCAACAACAAGTGGATCTCATTATATCAACCTGCTTTATTACCATTTTCACAGCATCCAATAGGCATCTAAACTAAACTTTATGATCCAGCTCTTGGGAGAAAGGATTTATTTCCAATAACCTAAATACAGGAGAAATCCTAATTCTATCCAGAATTTTTCCTTTGGTTTTACAAATTTTAAGATTTGAGATGAACTGTTTTTTATATGTATATAAAATATAATATTACTTTTTGGAGGTTCTCTTAAGTTAAATTTGTCATTTCTCTTTGAAGTTCAGTGTGCATGTAGGAGGGGCTTGTGAGATTATGCCTTCTGACGCTGGAGCTGATCTCTTAGAAATGGCTCATTAAAGGAAAGTGTTGTGGGGAATAGGACAGGCTGAGGTTCCAGGTTGAAATGGCAGTATTTCCTTTAAAGTGTCCTACCCCTGGTAAATATTAACAGTGGAGAATAGAATTAGTTCTTTAGTGAGAATATTTGAATCATAAGGTACCTTTATGTCTCCTTTTATTGACAGAAGACCAAGGCCCAAAGAAGGGAAGGGACCTGAGAAAATCAGTGGCAAAGATAGGACTAGAAGACTGAAGTTTCTTGATTTCCCATTTGGCCATCTTTCTTTCCTTCCTTCCTTCCTTCCTTCCTTCCTTCCTTCCTTCCATCCATCCATTAAAAAAACATAAAATTTGCCATCTCGGTAATTTTTCAGTGTACAGTGAATATTCACATTGTTGTGAAACATCTGAGATATAAACAACAACTCCCCTTTTCCAAAACTCTTCCAAAGGCCCTGGTTACCACCATTCTACTTTCTGTTTCTATGAATTTGACTATTTTAGATACCTCATATAAGTGGGATCATATATGTCTTTTTGTGACTGGCTTATGTCACTTTGCATAATGTCCTCAAAGTTCAGTCCCTATGCGGCTTGTGATAGCATTTCTTCCTTTTTCTGAACTGACTTATATATGTATATACCACATTTCGTTTATTCATTTGTCCATCAGTGGCCATTTGAGTGGCTTCCACCTCTTGGCTGTTATCCATAGTGCTGCTATGAACATGGGTTTGCAGATACCTCTTTGAGATTCTGTTTTCAATTCTTTGGATATGTACCCAGACGTGGGATTCCTGCATCATGTAGTAGTTCTATTTTTAATATTTTGAGGAACTGCCTTAATGTTTTTCTTATTGGTTGAACCATTTTACAACTCAGTACACAAGGGTTCCAAATTCTCTGCATCCTCACCAACACTTATTTTTCTCTTTTTTGATAGTAGTCATCCTAATGGGGGTGAGATGGTATCTCATTGTGGTGTTGATGTGCATTTATTTATTGATTAGTAATGTTAAGCATCGTTTCATATGCTTATTGGCCACTTCTGTATCACCTCTAGAGAAATGTCTATTCAAGCCCTTTGACCATTTTTTAATCAGGTTACTCGATGTTTTTAGTTGCTGAATTGTAGGCGTCCTTTATATATTCTGAATATTAATCCATTATGAGATATATGATTTGCAAAGATTTTCTCCCATTCCATACACATAGTACCATTTGTCTATTTTTGCCTTTGTTCACTGCTTTTTGGTGTCATATCCGAGAAATCATTGCCAAGTCTAGTGTCCAGCTTTTCCTCCATGTTTTCTTCTAGGAGTTTTATGTCTTAGTCTTACTAGACTTACTAGGTCTTTAATCTTAGTCTTACTAGGTATTTAATGAAGCTGGGGAATAAGGCCCCAGCTTCATTCTTTGGAATATGCATATCTGTTTGGTTATCCCAGTACTGTTTGTTGAAGAGACTATTCTTTCCTCACTGAGTGGTCTTGGCACTCTTGTCAAAAATCATCTGACCATTTATGTGAAGGTTTATTTTTGGGCTCTGTATTCTGTTCCACTGGTCTATTTGTTTTTATGCCAGTACCAAGCTGTTTCAATTACTGCAGCTTTGTAATTGGGGAGTGTGAGTTCTCCAATTTTGTTCTTCTTCAAAATTCTTTTGGCTAGTCAGTGTCTCATGAGATTCCATATGAATTTTAAGATGATTTGTTTCTATTTCCTAAAAAAAAGGCCATTGGAATTTTGATAGAGATTATGTTGAATCTGTAGATTACTTTGGGTAGTATGGACATCTTAAGCATCCAGTGATCTTTAACGTAATATGTTACTATCTCGTGTTCGCATTTAGATTTTCATATTGTGGTTGATTCAGTATATTTATTTCAATTATAATGTTTCAAATATTTCAATGGTATAGAAAACTATAGAGAATTATTTTTGTAGCCAATATTTGATTGCATACTCTGTACTTATCTACTATAAAGATTTAATAAATGTTGACATTTTGTCATATTTGTCTCATATTTCCTTTCAAAATTACTATTGCAGGAACATTATATCATTATCATAAAATACAAGAAAAAATGCTCTACTAACAAATCAACCTATTTTCAGTTTTCCTTTTTCATACTTTACTATAAGTATACCACATTTTTCCAGTACTAATCCTAACTTCGATGACATGTTATAATCTGTTTCTTGCTTATATTATAAGCATTTTTCATACTGCAATATGTTCTTTGTAGTTATTATTTTGATGAAAAACATCCTTTTTGCCAACCAAGTATGAGAAAGGCTTAATCTTGGCACTACCACTTACTAGCTTTGTGATCTTTAGAAAGTTTCCTAAACTTACAGAAACTAATAGCAATAAAAAGTGAACTTGTAATTATCTTAAAATGAATATTATAGTGGCCCATACAACAAGACTGTTAGAAGGACTGAATGTATATGAAAATGTCTGGGACTCAGTAGGTCCTTAATAAGTGCTAGTTTCCTTCCCTTTCCTTTTCCCAGGGATCTAGTTTTTAATCCTGTTCCTCCAGGGCTTGCCCTCGGAGACTCAGAACTTGCTCTTATTCCTCCAGACCAAGAAAGACCATCCATACACCTGGAGAATTGAACTGGCAAAAACAGAAAAATACTGGGATGGCTGGTTCCGAGGCTTATCCAATCTCTTTCTTAGTTGTCCCATTCCTAAATTGCTGCTCTTGGCTGGTAAGTGTATATGTGCATGTATTAGTCAGCTCAGGCTGCCATAACCAAATACCATAGACTGGGTGGCTTAAACAACATAAATTTATTTTCTCACAGTTCTGGAGGCTGGAAGTCTGAGATCAGGGTGCCAGCATGGTCAGGTTGTGGTGAGGGCTCTCTTCCTGGCTTGCCTTCTCTCTGTGCCCTCACATGGCCAAGAAAGAGTGAACGTGAGCTCTCTGGTGTCTCTTCTCTTAAGGACGTTAATTAGGGACGTTCATCCTATCATGTCAGAGCTCTGCCCTCATGACCTTATTTAACCTTTGTTATGTCCTTATAGGCCCTAGTTCCAAATACAGTCACATTGGGAATTGGGGCTTCAACATGAGTTTTAGGGGGACACAACTCAGTCCATAGCAGTGTTGGTATATTGTCATCTCAATATGACCTCATTAAAACTTCTCACCAAACGAGTAGTGACATCCAAAGTAGAATACCTTCCTCATTCATCTATGCCTTTTCTCCTCCCTACACCCAGTCTCTAAACCTAACTAGCATAGGCATTCATCTAAGCGTTAGGATGACCTAATTCTGGCCTGGCCTGTCTACTTGGTCAAGCCCAAGTCCTTCTTAGCCTAGAGCTAGATACAGTGGTATAAGGATATTCTGAGTATTATGAGAATTAAAATAGTAAAACCCTGTTTTCAGAACCAGTTTAACATAGTGATTTTAGGGGAATCTCAACCTGAAAAGTTTCATCTGGTGGTGAGAATATGCTCTGGGAGTTAGGATTGGTATAAACATAAATTGAGAATGTTACCATGTTTACAACTTTGTAACACTTTTTCCTTAGTACTTGAACAGCAAAATCTATTTCACAATGAATTCTCTTGTTTTCTAGGTGTTGATAGATTGGATAAAGATCTAACCATTGGCCAGATGCAAGGTAAGTTATCAAGAAATTATGCCCCTGGACCCTTTTCTGAAGAAAGGGTGATAGGGCAATTAACATCCTGAGATAGTGAAGTATAACGGAGAAAGCCTGAACTTTAGAGTCCAATCCAAGTTGAACATCTGCCTCTACTCCTGACACACTATATGATTATGGGCAAGTTATTTCCCTTTCCTGAGCTTTAATTTGTTTAAAAAAAAAAAAAAATCCATCCAAAAATGAAGATTGTAATACTACCTATGTTTCAGTTAGAAGAGTTAAAATGAGGCAATGTGTTTTAAAATTATAAAGTACTGTATAGGTGTATGATACTGTGAAAAGAGATATTCTGACTTCTGATGAGTTTTTTGTTTGTGGGGTTTTTTTTTTTTTTTTTTTTTTTTGGAGTCTTACTCTGTTGCCCAGGCTGGAGTGCAGTGGCTCAATCTTGGCTCACTGCAACCTCTGCCTCCCAGGTTCAAGCAGTTCTGCTGCCTCAGCCACCCCAGTAGTGGGATTACAGGCATGCGCCACCACACGTGGCTAATTTTTGTATTTTTAGTAGAGATGGAGTTTCACCATTTTGGCCAGGCTGGTCTCAAGCTCCTGACTTCAAGTGATCTGCCTGCCTTGGCCTCCCAGAGTGCTGAGATTACAGGTGTGAGCCACTGCAGCTGGCCAGTATTTTTTTTATTGTTAGAATTTTTAGGAAAGGGAAAGGCTCAAGATAATCCAGATATAAAAAGGTATAAATACCTGTTTAGAAGACAGCATGGTAAGATGGTAAAAGTAAAGTCTCTGAAGTTCAGAAAACTGAATTTTGAATACTGCTTTTCCAGTAATTTTTTGACTCTGGCCAAGTTTTCTGACTTGCCTCAGCTTTAGTCTTCTTAATCTGTAAAATGAAAAAACTGATGGCAGCCTCAAACGGATCATGAGGTATAATGAGTAGAAAAGTGACATGCTGAGCACTGTGTACAGATGCATGTATGTTAGCTAGATGACAGTGGAGGCAGCGGGTCCAATTTTGTGGGGGCTCTTGCTTTAGTACAGGTAAAAGACTCAGTGAAGGTGAAGTCAGTAGGCATGCAACTTTTGGGTTATGGGAAGAAGAGGTGCCAACTCCAAGACCAAAGTTTCAGGCTCAGGCAGAATCTGTTCTAGACCTTTCTTCCCTACTTACTCTCCCTGGACAATTTCATGGCTTCCATTTGTACCTTGATGACTCCCAAAGTTAAACATCCACCTCATCTCTCTCTCCTGAAGTCCAGTCCTAGCCCATGTAGCAAAACTGCTGGATGTCTCATGGGCCTCTCAAACTGTTCTTTTAGCTATCTTCAAGCTTTCCACAGCAAAAGGAGCTATATTCCTTCATAATAGTTGTTCAAAGCCTCTTGAATATAAAACTCTGGTCCCAGACCTTCATGGCTTTGTCTTCCTTTAACTACATTGTATCCTGAGGCCTGGAACAGGACCATGAGCTGGAACTGTGTGATTTTTTTCATGGCACTGATGTTGGTCATTATGGGCTTAGACACTTATTTAAGTAGATTCTTATAAACGTCTAAGCCCATAATGACCAACATCAGTGCCATGAAATTGAATCTAAGACACTTAAATTCAATTCAGAAAACCTTTCCTAGGCACCCTTTCTGTGCAAGACCTGTGCATGATGCTGGGCAGACAGAAGAATCAGACATGGCCCCTGAGACTGCCTGAAGGCAGTTGACATGGACTGGGATAGCGTTTGAAGTCATTGTTGATCACCAGCCTTGGAGTCAGACAATCCTGGGTTTGAATCACTGTTAATAGTTTTGCGGTATGAGTGAATTCCTAACTTCTTTAATTTTGAGTTTTTTCATCTATAAAATGGAGATAATGATATATCTCAGTGCAGTTACATGAAGTTTAAATGGAAAAAATGCAGGTAGTTAACAAATGATGCCTTTCATTATATTCAGGAAGTAATCATGATTTCTTACGAGATGTCCTCCTGTTTCCTCAGTATAGATTATATCAAGACCACCTTCTGGTTTAAAGAAAGCCTCCTATGAGTATAGAGTAAATGGCGAGGATAAGGAACGTTCCACAAAACAAAAGGAAATGGTTAAGGCTGCATAGATTCCAAACCACAGCTTTCCCAGCACTGTGTTCAAACCAGCTGACTTAGTTATGAAATCCTGGAAAACTACCACCTATTCGTAGTACAACTTGGGTAAATAATTTAGGCTCTCTGAACCTAAGGCTCCTAATCTGTGCAATGGGAGAGAAGAACTTGGAAATATTCCCACATCATAGAATAATTATGAGGATTACCCATGAGCATGTTATTTTATGTGTACCTGGCACAGTGTTGTTGGTGTATGTGAGTTCTCCCTGATTATACCGACTCTTCCAAAGAGGAAGGACAAATGCATCCCTAATCATCAGAGCTGATCTAACAGAAACAACAGGGAGATAGGAGTTGTAAGTTTTGGATCTAGGCATTTGTTCATCATTCATTCGCTAAAGATTTAAGCATCTACTCAGTGCCCAACCCTGTGTTAGTTCTTATTAGGGATATAGAGCAAGTAATAACACCATCGTCCCCTGTTCTTACGGAAATAACACACTCCTGGGGAGGCAAGCACCAGTGGCATGTAAAATGTAAACTTACTTGAAACTTACAAGAGGGCCATGTGCTGCTTTGTGTTTGGATCCAAGTGCATTAACAACAGTACTTTAGGAGCTAGATGGGAGAGTTGACTAGGCTCGAGCACCCAGAGAGAGGCAGCTTACTGCAGGAGGAGGGGCACAAGCTGGACTTTACTAAATGGGATCATCTTATTCCTCCACTGATTAACGAAGTGGCCTTGGGCAGGTCACTTCACTAACTTTGGCCTCAGTTTCATCATCTCAAAAAAGAATTTCAGTATTTTCGTGCATAATTTTATAGGGTAGATTTTAAGAATCAACTTTAAAAATGGATAGAAGAGTACACTGAAAACTTTTTGAATCCTATGTAACTGGGGTAAGAACCACAGGATGTAATGACCAGAAGAACTTTCAATCCCATTCCTTTATTTTATAAATAGAGAATCTGAGGCTGAGAAAATCTGCTATCTCTACTTATGGGGGCTCTGGGTCTCCTTAGGGATCTTCTTTATCAGTCATCGCTGTTCATTCTCAATCATTGTCGCATTACCTATGAGCTTACAGTGTTCTGTAAGACAGTATGAGAAGGTGCTTAGTACAATGCCTGGCACATGCTTAAGTGCTCAAATGGTAACTTATTGTAATAATACATTTTGAATCCTTAACATAGCTGACAAAATCCTTAATGGTTTGGCCCCTGCTTACCTCTCCAGCCTTATTGTTAACCACTCTCATAAGCACCATGCCAAGCTTCTTTTATTCCAAGCCATTTCAAGCCTTTTTTCCTTCCTGGGTCCCTCTTGGATTGTGAAGTTCCCTTTCTTATGCTCTTACAGCCCCACGTGCCCAGTTTCATCATAGGAGTGACATGCTGCATTAAAATGTTGGTTGTTGTGTTTTACTCCCCTACTGGACTGTAAATCCCCTGAGGACAAGAACTGTTTCTTCTATGTGTCTCTGGCCCAGAGTAAATGTACACTAAATAGGACAGAAGGAAAAAGTGAAGGGAAATGATTGGCACAAGGTTATAATTACTTGTATTACCATCCTCAGCAAGACTTGATAATTGGGTCCAGAGTGTTGAGGTGAGGTTGGAAATGGGGAGGTAGGTCCTGGGCTCCCGGAGTGACCTATGAGGCTACGTAAGACAGGGCTCTTTTAGTCCCTGAAGTTGCCTTGCTTTGATTCCTCTCCAGGGAAGTTCCAGATGCAGGTCCTACCTCAGTGTGGCCATGCAGTCCATGAGGATGCCCCTGACAAGGTGAGTCTGGTGTTCAATGACTGTAAAAGGACAACTGTGAGAATAACCCTGGATGTCACAGAAGACAAGTCTCTGAGTCTCAGCCTGCATTGCCTGCAGCAGCTGCTGTGGAGCCTATGCAGATGCAATTCCACCAGCTCTCCAACTTCTCCCTGGCAGCTGCTTATGGTATTGGCTTTGTGTATATGTGCTGAGGAGCTACTGACACCCTGCTATTTCATCCCAGGGCCCTGTGGTTAAGATCTTAAGCTCTACTTCTCCAATATTCCCAAAAGCCAGATGGAAGAGGGATGATTAGGGTAGAAACTGCTCCCTAAACCACAGGCAAGGTTAGGAATTAATATGGACTCCTCCTGTGGGAAAACACTGTTTTGTAACTCTAAGGGCACAAATAAGCCCTTCACGTCATTCCTCTTGAGCTCTTTGGAGCTATCCTTGACAAGGATGGTGGGGAAGAGTCTCCTAGCTCTGCTAGGGAGGGCCTAGGTCCTTTTAATTTCAAGCCTCTCAGACCTGTGGGTGGGATGAGGGCACTGTAGAGCCTAACCATCTAACAGTAACCCACAGCCCAAGGCTAAGCCCCATCAGTAACCTTCATGTGGCCTGGAATATCTCTCCCTTTTCCAGGTAGCTGAAGCTGTTGCCACTTTCCTGATCCGGCACAGGTTTGCAGAACCCATCGGTGGATTCCAGTGGTAAGGCGGGTACAAGGGTTTAAGAACCCCAGCAGTGCTGGCCAACTCTGACAAACAGATATTTGCAGGACTACAAATACCTCTGCCTTACCCCTGCCTGGTTTGGTCACCATGCCTTTCTTCCTCTCCCTCAGTGAAGAGCCTGGCATGTCTGTTTCTACCAAGCCATGGTGGGTTGTTTCTTTGTGCTGTGCTCCAGTGGGTTGATGCTGAGGCTGTGATTAAATTGTGCCTAGTCTCACCCCCCACTGTGATGTGCATTTCTTCTTGAGGTGCCCCTTTGAGGAGGCTGGGATAGGAATCAGTCCATTTCCAGGCTCCTAGAGAAGTTTTCTTTGGCTTCTCCTGCCCTGCTGCCAAGGAAAGCTGGGCAGGCCATGGAGCAGGGCTTTCTTTTTTCTTTCTTTTTTTTTTTTGTTTCCTTGGTACAGTCTTGGCTCACTGCAACCTCCGCCACCTGGGCTGAAGTGATCCTAGTGCCTCAGCCTCGCAAGTAGCTGGGATCACAGGCATGCGCCACCATGCCCAGCTAATTTTTGTTTTGTTTGTTTTTCGGTTTTTGGTTTTTTTTTTTAAGTAAAGATGGGGTTTCTCCATGTTGGCCAGGCTGATCTTGAACTCCTAGCCTCAAGTGATCCACCCACATCGGCCTCTTAAAGTGTTAGAATTATAGGCACAAGCCACCGCGCCTGGCCTAGAGCAGGGTTTTCTACAGTGTTGCAGAGTGTCTTCCCATGGCCAGCTACTAAGCAAGCTGGGAATGGAATGGGTGCTCTGCCATGCTTGCTTCCCCTCCCTTTCCGAAGCTGGCAGAATATTAGCCACTCTGCAGAGGTGATCCTGGAAGCTCTAGAGCAGGATTTTCAACCTCAGCGCTATTGACATTTTGAGGTGGATAATTCTTCATTGTGGGGGCTGTCCTGTGCGTTGTGGGATGTTTAGCAGTATCCCTGGCTTTTATCCACCCGATAACAGTAGTATCCCTCCCACACACAGTTCTGACAAACAGAAATGTCTCCAGATTTTACCAAATGCCTCAAGGGAGGCAAAGTTTCCCCCTCTATTGGTCTAGAGGAAGAAACAAGGCCAGGCCTCTCATCCTAGGAAGCTCTTCATCTGTTTAAGGAAACACAGTTGGGCTCTGTTGAGGAAGAAGAAGAGAGGCATGTTGACCCCATACCAGGTGGTCTTGACCCACCTCAGCTAGCTCCTAGTCTGTACTGCAGAAGGCTTTTGATCCTCAGAGAGCCCACAACCCTGATGAGGAGTCATTCCTACCATTGAAAAGTCTCTTCTCTGATTTTGGTGAGGGTTCGGGGGAACTTGTTCCCCACTCTCAGAAAGTTTGAAGAAGAAATATTAAGAAAAGGAAATGATCTCTGCCTTAAAGAACTCTGAATTCCAGGGCCTGGGAGATGAGAGTAACAGGGCAGGGTAAGCACTGGAGATGATGGCGAGACCCTGGGACAGTAAACCACAGAACCGACACCCCTGTGCTGAGCCATCCCTCTAACAACTAACCATTGATGGATCCCAGGAACCAACAATAAAGACCTAATTTCTCTACTGAACAGTGTTTGTCTGGGGCCCTTCGACCATTTGGAGCCTTGGACAAATGAGCAGCACACTGAGAGCAGACCCTGGGTCCAGCTTTGGTCAGGGCTATGAGATGGGTCAGATTTGCTTTGGTGGTCATTAGGCCGGGCTTCCTGGAGGACACAGATAAGCAAGGGAAAGCTATTGATAGTTACATTTGTTTTTCTTTCTCTTTCTGTTCTTCCACAGTGTGTTTCCTGGCTGTTAGTGACCTGCTGTCCACCCCTCCTCAACATCGAGCTCTGTTGTAAATATGTCGCACCAGAGGCCACTGTGATGCCACTGTCTCCTCCTCCCCGTCCCGCCTGGCCATGTGACACTGGCTCCCTGTAGACGGGCACCCTGAGATGTACCAACCGTTTCACGTATTCTGCCAAAAGCATTGTTTTCCAGGGTCCTTGACCAACTTTGGCTTCCCCAGTCCAAGGCTCCCCTGCTCCTTTCCCTTCCCTGTACTGGGGTATCTCCTGCCTGCTCTCCCTGCGTTGCCTAGGGTAAAGCCTCCAGATTTGCCATACTGAGCCCCTCTTCCTAGCGTCAGGCGATACACCTGAGTCCAAATGTCTTCCCAGGCTCAGGGACCTCCATTCCTTGAGATTGTCTTGGCATGGTCCAACCCTGCCTCATGTGGTGGACAATGTATGGGGTGGTCCTTATTTTTCCCTTTCAAATAAAACACTAGTCAGGTACCATTTTATCCTAGTCATACTCTTCCGGGTTTGGAAGACCCAGAGAGGCCAAAATCCCATCCTTAGGCACCGGGAGGGGTGGTGGTGGGTAGCATCACAAGAAACCAGCCTGAAAATCAGGTCCAACCAGTCCAAGCACATGGCCTCCCATCTGGGAGAGCCCACTGTCCCACTCCACATGTCTGGGCAGCTGCCCTGGGCTGAGGCCAGGCTGCTCCAGGGGCCTCTTGAGCCCTCACCTGCCACACAGCAACCCAGGTTAAATACAGCCCATGCACAAAGCCACAGGCCAAAGCCTATGGAATTGTTTTTAATCATCAAATTTCACCATGTTCATAGCTGGTTCCTGGAGGTGTGCAGTGCCCTCTTGCCTCTTCAAACCTACAGCTTCTCCTTGCCATTTGTGGATTTCACGTCACTCCACATAGAAGCGTTACAGCCTGACATCCCCAGTCTTTGCCTTCTTCCAGCGGCCTGTCCCTATTGCCCAGGCACGCCATTTCCAAGGGCAGGAAGGAGCAGTGTCCTGAAGCCCATCTTCTCTGTGACTGTCTTAGGTGATGTGTAGCCCCCTCCATCTTTCCACTCAACAATCTCTCACCCCTGTCCTGCTGCATGGTCCGGAGTCTGGGACCTACTTCGTTTTTTGTTATTTATGACCTTGTTTAAAGAAAATAAATATCTCCCAACCTTTATTGTTCTGGTCTTTCTCTCTGAATTGTCCTTATTTCTGCTGATATGGGGGCAGGGGACAGCACATCAGACTTAGTTGTCATGGAACTCCAGAAACCCCTTTCCCTATAGCCCTTCAATATGTTCTGCCTGTCCCAGATCCAGAATGCCCAGTGGGATGGTCAGAGCCACCCTCCTCTGCAGCCAGGATGGAATTCCAGTCCCATCTCTCCTCATTATTGACTGTGTCGACTTTGGTCCAGAGCAGGGCAATCTGTGCACTATCCACATGATCTCAGTCACCATAGCTTCACTTACGTGAAACTTTATCCACAACCCAAATCATTTCCTGAACTCTGAACAGTTAGGCCCAGGTACCTCCTCCTGTCTCTCCCAGATGACCAAAAGCCACTTCATACTGACTATTTCTAAAGCTGAATCCACCTTCCCCCTGAAACTTGCTCCCCATGAAACTTGTTCTTCCTCCAGTGTTTCCTGGCTCAGTAAGTGATAGGTACCACCGTCTCTCCAGTTGTCCAAACCAGATCCCCACAGTGAATGCCTTCTCTTACACCTACCTCAGGTCTCCCACCAAATCCTGTTCATTCTCTTTTCCGTGTCCCCTCTTTTCCATCCCATAGTCAGTGCCCTAGCTTAGGCCTCCTCATCTCTCACCTCGATCACTTCAGTACCTTTGCTGCCCTCCTCCTCCCCAGGTGGTCCGCCACACATTGTCAGAGGCGTCTTCCTAGTAGGCTCTGGGGCCAGGGTGGCTAAATTAGAACCCAAGGCCCACCCCTTACACTGTGTGGTGTGGCAACAAACTTTCTGTGCTGTAGTTTACTCATCTGAAAAATGGAGATAAACAGTATCTACCCCACAGAGTCTTGAGGATTATACAAGTTAAACTAGGTTAACTGGCTTTCTCAGTAACTGGCACATGGTAGACACTTAATAAGTAGTTCCTGTTATGACATTGTTACATTATTATAGTTAGGAACTTTATTCAGGGCAGTCTGTGTGCCAGTAGCCTCAGTATCTCCTGGAAGCTTGTTAGAGAACTGTGTCCCCATCTCAGACCTATTGAATCAGAACTCATCTGCATTTTAACAAGTGCATCAGTGTCTGAAAATGTCTGATTTAGTTGATGATGAAATATTTCAGGGTAATTCATGAGCTCCCTAGTAGAGGAGAGAAGTTCCTTATGTGTGGTTTGATTTCTCTCACTGGAACCCTTTGCGGGTGCCTTTGCTGAGCTATGTGCCCTCTTGTCCACAAGAGGGCAGCATGATTACCTGTGTGGTTTTCAGGGGCACCCAGGTTCATCAGGGGAAAGTTACCAAATTTTGAGTGTCATCTAATTCACTTGACATACATCTCATTTAATCTTCACAGCAACTCTATGAGGTAGGTTACATTCCTTTTACAGGTAGGCAGACAGGTCCAAATTCCTACAGCTTGGAAGTGACTGTCAGAATTCAAAGCTGGCTTGCTTCCACATCATGCTGCTCCTGGATGCTACAAGGGACCCTGGGCAGAAGTCATTTTGGCCCAGATACCTGACTTAAAAGAGCAAGAGGAGGATGACTGTGGAGATGAACCCTCTTTACACTTGATGGAGGAGGCTGAGAATGAATGAAATGCTCGTGAGCTTTGTGGTTGGTTGTGTTTTAGGCCCTTTCATCTTCATTCATCCTTTGCATCCTTGTGAAGTACAGGCATTATCCCCAATTTAAAGGCAAGAAAGCAAAAGCTCAAAGATGAAATGGCTTGCCCACAGCCACGGCCCGAGTGGCAGCATCTTTGTCTTCTGATTCCAAGTCTACTGAGCATCCCATCACACCCCAGTAGAGAAGGGACCATTCATGTATTCACTTAACATGGCTTTAATGAGCACCTACTATGTGTTGGCCATAACTGTCCTTGCAGAGCCTAGAGATCAGCATGTATGAACTCAGGAAGGGAATAAAGGATACCCCAGGATCCTTGAATGAAGGATTGCCACAAAGTCAGAAGGAGCATGTTGGGGACAAACCAAAGTCCCTCTGTCACACAGACACTAGTGAATGTCCAAGGGAAACTCCTTCCCAAAAAAGGAGGATAGGCACATTTTGGAGGCAGACATAGATCTGATGGGGGAGAGACAGAATCTTGAGACTGGGAGGACTCAAGACAAAGGCATGAGGGGAATGGGGCATGACTTTGTAGCCCCATGCTCTTAACATACTGTTAGGAGCATTTGCTTATTAAGCAAACCCAAACACCCAATATGTGCCAGGCATCCAATGGACTTTGTAGACAGAGGTAAATAATGAGATTCTTAAAATGAACTCATTGTCTAGAAAGACAGTGATAGAAATAGTGACCACGTTGTAAGAAGGCTGGGGGTGGGCAGTAACTAAACCTATTTGGAAACAGGCCAGGAATGGTTTCACAAGAGGTAGCATTTTTTTTTTTTTCTTTTTTTCAGACAGAGTCTCCTCCATCGCCTAGGCTGGAATACAGTGGTATGATCTTGGCTCACTGCAACCTCTGCCTCCCAGGTTCAAGCAATTCTCCTGCCTCAGCCTCCCAAATAGTTGGGGTTTCAGGTGCCCGCCACCACACCCAGCTAATTTTTGTATTTTTAGTAGAGATGGAGTTTTGCCATGTTGGTCAGGCTAGTCTCAAACTCCTGACCTCAAGTGATCTGCCCGCCTCGGCCTCCCAAAGCGCTGGGATTACAGGTGTGAGCCACCAAACCCAGCCAAGAGGCAGCATTTGAGTTGAGCCTTGAAGTATCACAAAGTGGAGGTGGAGGAGGAAGGGCAAGACATCCCAGGTAGAAGGAACAGCACAGACAAGCACTGGAGACTTGAAAGTCCGCCTAGGAAGAAGACTGTGGCTGGAGTATGGGCCGAGACAGGAGAGGAGGTAGGAGTCAGGGCATAAAGGCCTTAAGTGTCAAGAATAAGGAGTTTCCAGAAGTTATTAAGCAGGGATGTGACAAGGTCAGGTCTTTTTTATAAAGGAAAGTCACCCTGGTAGCCTGCGTAGATGGATTGGTGGGTGCCAGACACGAGGCCAAGAGGTCAGTAAAGAGGCAGTTTTAATCGGGCAAGGAAAAGACAGAGGTATACTTAACTAGGACAGTGGCCACCGGGCTGAGAGAACAGGATCGTCTCAATATTTTGGAGGTGGAATGAACAAGAAAGAAACTAGTTAGATTTCAAAAGTGATGGGCCAAGAACCCTTAAGTTGGATGCAGGGGCCTGTCATGCAAAGTGGGGGTTGGAAGTGAAAGGTCAAGGTTTTACCAAGGGAAATGCAAGAAGAGAGCTTACACTAGCAGCAGAGAAAGCTAAAGGCAGTCACACTTCTCCTGGCAGTCACTGTTTTGTTTGCAATCTTGGAGCCAACGCTGCTGCTCCAGCTGGCCACCCCATCAGCAGCCAGAATCAACACATTCTCAGTCTGGGGCCAGGGCTCAGAAAGTTATGTCAACTCAAGAGGCTCCCTTATTCCTCGAGCTGGCTTCCTCTCCCAGCAGTTTGCTAGAAAACTCCAGCCCACAGCCAGGCAAAACCTTGGAACCCAAGACTAGCGGAGAGGCTGGCCTCTTCCAGGTGCAGGCAGTAGGTGACTGAGGAGTGAACAGTGTCGAGGGAGAAAGTTTCTTCTTGATTAGTGACAATGATGCCATTCCATAATGACTTAAGAATGACTAATCAAACAAGCTTAGAATAACTGACATGATACCGTCTGTATCATTATAAAGCACATTTATAACCTTTGAGACCTCCAAACTCCTCTGGAGTGGGGAGGGCAGACAAATCAGCAGTGCCTCCTACACATGAGGAGTTCGAGGCTCTGACAAGGAAAGTGATTTGTCCAGGGTCACACGGTAGCACAATCTGGACTAGAACTCAGGCCACCTGACTTCCAGACCAGTCAGTGCCTTTTTAGTCTCACACCATAGCAAAAGGAGAGGAGGGGTGGGGCAGGGGCGTGGAGGACTAGGGCCTGATGGTGAGAGAAATGCTCCAAGCTCAGTTGAGCCTCCTACTAGCTGGGTGACCTCTGGCACATCACTTCCTTCAGAATTTCAGGTTCTGCATCCCAAAATGGGGTGATAATCCTTAATTCACTAGGTGTTATGAGGGTAAATGAGACCTAAGTATCCAAGTATAGTAAAAGCTGCTGCCTACAGTAGATAAGGTGAAAAACAGTAGATGCCATGGCACTAAGAAGATAAGGGAATCCCCAAAGGGCGGGGAGACCAAGGCACAGCCATTCTACTACTACTGCTGGGTGGGGCTGCTCAGGCAGAATTAGTGGAAGCCAGTGTGCCCCTGGGGCCTGAGAGCGGCCCACGATGCACCCTCCTCTGGCCTGGGGACGTCCTTCTCAAAAAATTTTTGGCCAGGAGCAGTGGCTCACGCCTGTAATCCCAGCACTTTGGGAGGCCAAGGTGGGCAGATCACGAGGCCTGGCCAACATGGTGAAACCCTGTCTTTACTAAAAATACAAAAATTAGCCAGGTACGGTGGCAGGCACCTATAATCCCAGCTACTCAGGAGGCTGAGGCAGGAGAATCGCTTGAATCCAGGAGGCAGAGTTTGCAGTGAGCCAAGATCACGTCACTGCATTCCAGCCTGGGTGACAAGAGCAAGAATCCGTCTCAAAAAAAGAAGAAACTTTTAACCAGGATTTTTTTTTAATAGTAAACCATAGCTAACACAGTATTTCTCATTTTAACCATGTGGAAATGAACAGTCCAGTGGCATTAATGACATTCACAAGGCTGTGGACCACACCACTATCTATACCCCAACTTTTTCATCATCCCCAGCAAGAACTCTGTACCCATTAAGCAGTGACTCCTGCCTGCATACCCAGCCTCTATTCTGCTTTTGGTCTCTGAATTTGCCTATTTTAGGTAGCTCATAGGTGGAATCCTACAATATTTATTTTGTGTCTGGCTTATTTCATTTAGCATAATGCTTTCAAGTCCATCCATGTTGTAATGTGTATCAAAATTCTGTT